AGACGTTCACTATCCTGAGTTAACAAAGAACAATACAGTACAGGAACAGGCCCTTCAGACCACTACCCTGCACCGACACATAGTGCCTTTCTAAACTAAAAATGTTTTGCCTCTATGCACTCTGTAGGGCTCTTTCCCCTGCCTACTCATGTATCTGTCAAGATGCATCTTAACCGTTGCTTTTACCACCTCCTCTGGCAGACATTCCAGGCACTTAAACCCTCTGGGCAGAAAAGCATGCCTCTCACATCTCCCTTAAACTTTCCCCTTTTTTACCTTAAGCCTATGTCCCCTAATAATTGACATTTCTACCCTGAGAAAAAGACTCCGATTATCCATTCTATCCATGCCTCTCATAATTTTGTAAACTTCTATCAGCTTCTGACATTCAAGTAAAAACAAACCAGATTTGTCCAATTTCTCCCTATAGCTATATCTTCAAAAACCAGGCAACATTCTGGTAAACCTTTTCTGGATGCTGTCCAAAGTCTCCAGATCCTATGGCTGTGTGGCGACCAGAATCATATGTAATATTCCAAATGCAGCCTAACTAAAGTTCTATACAGCCGCAACAGGACTTGCCAATTTTTATTCTCTGTGCCCCAGCTGATGAGGGCAAGCATGCTGTATGCCTTATGGATCACCTTATCAACTTGTGTTGCCACTTTCAAAGAACTGTGGACCTGTAGATAGAGTCAGGGAGATGTACAGCATAGAAACAGACCCTTCGGTCCAATTTGTCCATACTGACAAGATATCCTAAATTAATCCAGTCCCATTTGCCAGCATTTGGCCCATGTCCTTCCAAACTCTTCCTATTCATATACCCATCCAGATACCTTTTAAATGTTGTAATTTTAATCCCTCTCTATGTTAGTGCTACTAAAGGTTCTGCCATTCACTTCTCTCCTGCATTAGACTTTCCAAAATGCATCACCTTGCATTTGTTTCCATTAAATCCCATCTGCCACTTCTCTGCCCAAATCTCCACCTGATCCACATCCTGCTGATAATCCTCCTCACTATCTGCAGCTCCCCAATCTTTGTGTCATGCGCAAATTTACTAATCAGACCATCTACATTCTACTTGAAACCATATCAATGTTCTTTCACTGTTGCGGATTAAAAAATCATGGAACTCCCTCGCTAACAACATTTCACGTGTTCTTCTTAAGTTCTTATGAGGCTGTACCTAAAATCAAATGGTATGCAGTGATTCAAGAAGGTGGCTCTCCACAACCATCTCAGGGCAGCTAGGAATTGGGAATAATGTTTGGCCTTGCCAACATGACCCACATCCAATAAAAGATTTTAAGAAAAGTTCAACAAATAACAAGCACCAAATCTAGTCCAATTCTGTCAATACTAGGCTGGACTGCGTATGCAGTATTGTGATAGGTCTGTCTTTCAAATGAGGTGTTAACCTTGTTCCAATTAAATGTTTGGTTGGATAATTCGTTTTCAAATGCCAATACATGATCTGTATCGCTTCCTCCTGTTTTGTATGATTCTCAGGCAGGAACCTTTTCCATCTCCAAATCAGTGGGCCTTCCTCAACTTAATCAAATATATAGAAGAGGCCTTCAGTCCATCGAGTCTATACTGCCAAAACTATGCTAAACTTACTGATCCCACTTTCCAGCACTTGGCCTATAGCCTTGAATGTTATGATAATTCAAGTGTTCATCCAAGTACCTTTTAAAGGTTGTGACATAGTGCATTCCAGATCTCCACACCCTCTGGGTGAAAACATTTTTCCTCAACTCCCCTTGAAACCTCCTGCCTTTCACGTTAGAAATGTGCCCCCTTGTTATTGACCCTTCAACTAAAGGGAACAGCTGCTTTCTATTCTCAGTAGTCTGGCAGCACCTGTGAAGGAAAAAACAGGGTTAACGTTTCGGGTCCGGTGACCCTTCCTCTGTTCTGACCCGAAACGTTAACTCTGCTTTTCCTGCACTATTGCTGCCAGACCCGCTGGGTTTTTCCAGCAACTTTGTTTTTGTTCCCGATTTACAGCATCCGCAGTTTTTTCAGTTTTTATTTTGCTTTCTATTCTCCCTGTCCATGTCCCTCATAACCTTACACACCTCTATCAGGTTCCCTTCAGCCTTCTCTGCTCTAAAGAAACCAACCCAAGCTCATCCAGTCTCTCTTCATAGCTAAAATGCTCCTTCCCAGGCAGTGCAATCATTCTTCCTTTAGTCTGGTGACCAGAACTGCACACAGTGCTGCACCAGTAGCCTTATCAAACCTCTGTACAGCCCCAACATGACCTCTTTGCCCTTATAATGTATGCCTTGACTGATACAGGCAAGAGTCCTGGATGCTTTCTTTATGACCTTATTAACCTGCCCTAACACCCTCAGGGATTTATTGACAAGCACCCAAGATCCCTCTGTACCTCCGATTTTCCTAGTGACCTACCATTCATTGAGTACTCCCTTGTTACTTCTTCCGAAGTGCATCACCCCACATTTATCAAGGTTGAATTCCATCTGCCACTGATCTGCGCATCTGACCAATTCATCTAAATCCTAAGATAACTAAGAACTTCTTCCTTGCTGTCAACCACCCAGCCAATCTTTATGTCATCTGCAAAATTATTGATGCCACCCTCCTCACCCCCACATTCTCATCTATATCATTTATATATATCATGAGCAATAAGGGACCCAGCACTGACCCCTGTGGTCCACCACTGAACACCAGGCACCAGTCACACGAACAGCCTTCTACCACCACCCTCTGTCATTAAGCCCATTTTGGATCCAAATTGCCAAGTTGCCCTGGATCCCATGTGCTTTTACTTTCTTTATAAGTGTCCCATGTGGGACCTTGTTAAATGCCTGCTGAAATCCATATCTATTTTCCAAGCTTCTATGCTTATACATCGCTGTACTGCTTTCATCTACAGACTTGGTTGCCTTCTCAAAAACTCAACCAGATTTGTTAGGCATGACCTCCATCTGACAAAGCTATGCTGACCTTGCCTCTCGAAATGAGACTAATTCTGTCCTTCAGAATGTTCCCCAATAGTTCTCCCATCACTGATATGAGTCTCATTGGTCTACAATTCCATTCAAACTCTGTTAAATTTCCTTCATTTTTAGATTATTAAATGCACATGAAAAACTTTAAGACATTCAGTAAGCACTGTACATGACTTTCTTTCCCTATAGCATTGTCCTGCTGTGCACTTTGACATTGAACAGTGATACACATGAACACTCACCTGATGTCATTGAAATTGCAGAAGAAAGCAAACAGACTAAGACCAAAACTAACGCCTTTTGCCGCCTGCATGCAGTGTTGTCCATTTTGTGTTGTACACATGAAAATCCCAGCTCACAATTCTGCATTCGAGTTTTCTGCGTGCGAATGTCCAAAATTAAGCAGCAATGTTACTGTGGAAAATTTCAAAGCAATCTCTGCTAGTGAACGAAGTGATCCAATGTTGAAGCTGAAGTGAGTTATAGCTCAGGGTGCTAAAAAGATCATAAATGCCAAGGTTAATTGTAAACTGAGCTTAAGTCACCCAAAGTTTGTTGTCATTGTCTTTGTATCAGATGTGACGTAATGAGTCAGTCATGCATTAATCGTGCACCATAAATCGCAGCAAAAATGCATCACTTAAGAACTTCGTAATATTGGTGGCTGTGATGTTTATGCATTTCAAGTCCAAAGCAGTCCCTGGCCTCAGTTAAGACTACATAATAATGGTTGACAGATTTTTGGTTTCAGAGTACAGCGAAACAACACATGTTTTGACAACAAGACTAGAATCTTGCTAGTGAAAGGCAAGGGTCTACTTGCATGCGGTAATTTCATTATCACCTAACCTACATTTGTAATCACAGAATTCTACATGAGGCAAGGGCATGCTATGGCCCATAGTATTATGACTAGACTATTAATCTAGAGACCCAAGTAATGTTCTGGGGATCCAGGTTTGAATCCTGCTACAGCATATGATGGAATTTGAAATCAATTAAAAATCTGGAATTAAGTATCTAATGACGATGATGAAAACCATTGCCAATTGTTGGGAAAAACCATCTAATTCGCTAATGCCCTTTAAGGAGGGAAACTGTCATCCTTACTAGGTCTGGTCTACATGTTATTCCAGACTCACAGCAATGAAGTTGACTCTTAATAGCCCACTGGGCAATTAGGGATGGACAATAAATGCTATGCTAGCCAACGTTGTCCACTTCCCATAATAGCATAAAAAAGTGAACTGTGTGCAGTGTCCAACTATGCTGAGTACAAATCCTAGCCACAGGCAATCTATCATTGATTATTACAAATTGATCACAGTCTTCTCTGTGAAGCAGAAATAATCAATGGTGTCCATAAAGGTCTCATCTGTGGGCCACTCATCACTGAGACAATCCAAGATCTCCTAGACTGCACATGGGCATGGAGCAGATTTCCTCTTACCTTGAACAATAAGTATTTGCCAACATGCTCATTTCTGCAAAGCTGCCTTTCTTGAGGAATATGGGTGGGGAGAACATAGTGTTGTAGTCGTGTGATGTGGCTCCGTATATTGGAATAATGTCATACGTCCATGTACAGCCATTCCACGGCCCTCAATGTCAAATCCCTCCATGTGTCAGTGTATCGAGCACTGTGGTAAATTGTGCTTTGTGTGCGCTGCAATTACCAGCTGCTACTAGGAAGCTGGTTTGTTTCTGATATTCCTTACACAGGTTCATTGGAACTGACACCAATGGATCCAGCCATAGCAGATGTTCTCATCGTTGTGACCACTGCACAGTGAAGGCGCAGAGAAATTGGCGTAGAACAAATGAATCAGCAAGTTCAGGACTAGCAGCAACCTCCAGTGGCTACTGAAGGGCCTCCACATGAAGAATTTGCAACAGAAGGTCACCTCAGAATGCACTGGAGGTCCACAGTTTATCTCACACAATTCTCTACTGCTCACCCCTTATGCCCCACTCATCTTCAGCCCTGCTCCTGTGTTATCTTGCACTCACCCGCACAGAAGTCCACACTACTGCTGCAGTCTTCGGGGATTTCTGTATCTAGCGCCATAATTAAACCTAGTTGTTCACCTGGTCAAACACTGCCAGTTAGGGATAGCCTGTACAGTTAATGTGGTGGGAGGGAAATGAAAAAGAAAAGCCTCTGAAGGCACATAGATGGTACAGGTGACACTTCATTGTAAATAGAATATCACAATCATAAATGTATTGGCACTTTAAATCATCACCTGCCTGATCCACTGGCATTGGAGCTGCAGCTACAAGGATAAAGGTACACATCTTTAGCACCAGTACTCTTTCCCCAGCACCCATCATCACATAGCAGCCTGTCCCTGTTGAATGTAGGAGTATAAATTTTGTAAAGCCTGCAACCAGTTGTTAACATTAACTTCTTTTAAAGAACAGGAGAAGTGAAGAAAGAATAAATGAAAAAGCTACATTTGCTTCTGGGACTGAACAGAGGTTGCTTGCTTTTTGAGCAAAACCATACTCACTGTTAACCGATGACTTCACCCAACTCAGATCTATTGGAAGCAAGTATTAAGTTTTGTCTTACCATGTTGCACTGCTCTATCCTGCTGATGTTAATGTTCTTCCTGTTCAATGTCCTCATCTTCCTCCTTGGAAAACTGCTGCCACTCTCCCAGCTTGTCAGTGTCCATCAGTTGTGTAGAGTGAATCACACAAGGATTAGGCAGAACACTTTGTGTGGACTGTACTGAAAGCTGGGCCCCCCCCCGCCAACAAATGATCCAAGCATCAGAACCGCATCTTCAGGAGGCCTATCATCTGCTCCATGGTGCACCTGGTGGAAGAATGGACTTCATTATATCCAGCCTCAGTCAGGGGGCTGTATAATGGAGACATCAGCCATGTTTGAAGAGGGTAGCCTTCGTTTCCCAGCAGCCATTCTGGCATCCCAGCCCTTGAAATAAAGCAGGAGCCTGAGAGTTCTCAAGGATATAGACATCATGGCAGCTTCTAAGCTTCCTGGCAGAGATGACTTGTACATTTACCAAATCGGACCTTTTCTATTGATGAAATCAGCTGCATTATGGTATGGTGCTCTTAATAAGAAATGTGTACAGTCTGTAGTATCCTGAACACAGGAGAAGCTAACCATGTTAGCAAAGCCTTCTACCCCAGAGCGCAGCAATGACCTTGTCATGGGGGAACAAGATGAAGTGGTGATATCTGGCACAAATTGTATCGGTAACAACCTTGATATGTTTGTGTTTTAAGGGTTTTGTGAGATCCTGCACAGATCCCCAGTAGGTTCTTGCAGGCAGCCAATTACATAAAAGTTTAGTGTAGCTGTCATGTTGACAGCCACCAGGATAGGGTCAGCTGGCCACCCACTCTGCAGGTTGCAATCCTGTTCCAGCAGAGGACAAAGTAGTGAGGTGGTGTCCTGGGACATCCTCATTAAGTGGTCACACGGTGCCTCACTCATCTGGACGAGAAGGCTTCAAGGACTCACTAGAGCTCACAAAGAGAAAAACTCCACAAAACTCTCCAAAACTGACACTTAGCCAACTTCTGGGAAAATTCAGCCTGACAAGTTTGCTCATTTCTGAATTAGCTTGGGAGGCACAAAAAAGTACATTATGAGCAACCAATAGCAGGATATTAGGCAGGACAATTGGAGACAAGAAGCCATGTAATTTAACCTTCCAGGGATATATCCAACCAGAGTTGACAATGGTCCCCAGTCTGCCCTCAGGCCACATGAGTTGCTAATTGATTATTTTGCTAACATAATCTCATCACGACTTTGTAATGGCATCTGGTTTTCATGGTATAGCTTTAAGCTGCTCTCCTTACAAAGAAACCTTTCAAAGTAGAATTTGTGTTCTTGGGATATCTCAAAATGCATCACAGCCAATGAAGCATTTTCAAAGTTTAGTCATTGCCGTAATCTAGGAAAGATGAGCCAATTTGCACATAGCAAGTTCCCACAAACAGAAATGGGAAAAAGATAAGATAATCTGTTTTAGAGATGATGGTTGATGCATAAACGTTAACAGGGAGATACCTCAGGAGATAAACACTGCTGTCCTTCAAAATAGTACAAGAGATCTTATATATTTAGAGGAAAGATGAGGCCTGACTTTTACTTCTCATCCAAACAATGGTTCCTCTGACAACGCAGTAATGCATTGCAAGTTGTGAGGTAGTGTCCTGGGACATCCTCATTAAGTGGTCACACGGTGCCTCACTCATCTGGACAAGAAGGCTTCAAGGTCTCACTAGAGCTCACAAAGAGAAAAACTCCACTAAACTCTCCAAAACTGACACTTAGCCAACTTCTGGGAAAATTCAGCCTGACAATTCAGCCTGGCAGATGGCTGGTTGGTCTAGGGGTAAGATTCTCGCTTAGGCTGTTGTGCGGTGTTGACATTCGAGAGGTCCTGGTTCATATCTCGGATGAGCCCTGATCTCTTTAGGGGCAGCACGGTGGCTCAGTGGTTAGCACTGCTGCCTCACAGCACCAGGAACCTGGGTTCGATTCCACCCTTGGGCGACTGTCTGTATGGAGTTTGCACATTCTCCCTGTGTCTGTGTAGGTTTCCTCCCACAGTCCAAAGATGTGCAGGCTAGGGTGGATTGGCTGTACTAAATTGCCCATAGTGTTCAGGGATGTGTAGATGAGGTGGATTATAGGGGGATGGGTCTGGATGGGATGCTCTGAGGGTCAGTGTGGACTTGTTGGGCTGAAGGGCCTGTTTCCACACTGTAGGGATTCTATGAGGTGTCACTCTGGATTATATACTCAGTATTTTGGGGTGGTGATTGAACCTAGCATCCTCGGACTCAGACCTGAAAATACTACTCACTGAGCCACAACTGGTATTCAGCTAACTTGGTCCTCAGATCTCTATTTCAGGTTAAGTATGGTGTTAGACCACAAAAAAATAGGAACAGGCGGTTGTTCGGCCCCTCAAGCCTGCTCCGCCATTCAATAGGATCGTGGCTGATCCAACATTCCTCATGTCCACTTTCCTGCCCTTTCTCCATCACACTTGATTCCCTGACTGATCAAAAATCTATCAATCTCAGCCTAAATTATACAGAAGGATTCTGCCCCCACAGCTCTCTGTAGCAAGGACTCGCAAAGTCCAACACTCACAACCCTCTGAGGGAAGAAATTCTTTCCTATCTCAGTCTTAAATTGGTACCCCTTTCTTCTGAGACTGTGCCCTCTGGTCCTAGACTCTCCCACAACAGGAAACATCCCCTCAGCATTGATTCAGAGGTAGTAGGAACTGCAGATGCTGGAGAATCTGAGATAACAAGGTGTAGAGCTGGATGAACACAGCAGGCCAAGCAGCATCAGAGGAGCGGGAAAGCTGACATTTCGGGGCCTAGACCCTTCTTCAGAAAACTGAAGATTTCTGAAGAAGGGTGTAGGCCCGAAACGTCAGCTTTCCTGCTCTTCTGATGCTGCTTGGCCTGCTGTGTTCATCCAGCTCTACACCTTGTTATCTCTGTTCCCTCAGCATTGACCCTGTCAATCCCCTTAAAAATCCAATCTGTTTCAATGAGATCATCTCTCATTTCTCGAAACTCCAATGAGTAGAATCCCAACCTGTTTCCTGCCCATGAGCCAATTCTCTATTTGTGCCAGTTTACTATCTCCAAGGCAATGGCTCTTATCTTATGACTTAACTGCTTGTGGGGTACTTTGTCCACTTTCCAATAATATAAGCAGTAACTTAGCAACGGTGAGCAAGTGTTCAGAACAAACAACCACGTAAATAAGGGAGGGGATCAACTGCATATATTACATTTTATGATGTTTAAGATTGCATACTCAGAATCATTTCAACTGGTGTTAATTTGCCAACTTAAAAGTTTGATCAAGAGCTCAGAATTTGGGTTTGGCTTGGAGTATGTCAGAATGTAAATAACTGCAAGGCTGATATTCCAATGATAAGATAGACAAGCTGATAAAAGAAAGGCTTACGTTCTGCTCGCAAAAAAGACCCTGAACTACCTGTTCAACGCACCACCCTGCTCCCTGGCCAACACCTCTGTCTCTGGCCTGCTACAGTGTTCCAGCAAAGCCCAACACAAGCTGGAGGAACAACAGAGACAACTAGGTGCAGAGCTGGATGAACACAGCAGACCAAGCAGCATCATAGGAGCAGAAAGGCTGATGTTTCAGGCCTAGACCCTTTATCAGAAATGGGGAGGGGAAGGGGGTTCTGAAATAAATAGGGAGAGAGGGGGAGGCGGATAGAAGATGGATAGAGGAGAAGATAGGTGGAGAGGAAACAGACAGGTCGAAGAGGTGGGGATGGAGCCAGTAAAGGTGAGTGTAGGTGGGGAGTTAGGGAGGGGATAGGTCAGTCCAGGGAGGACGGACAGGACAAGGGGGCGGGATGAGGTTAGTAGGTAGGAGATGGGGGTGTCTTTCCCTCTCTTTGGGCTCTATCCTTTCGTTTACTCCCTACCCCACCCACCTCCCTACTTTCTGCATATAAACTGACGTTTTCCCAGCCACCACTAGTTCTGAGGAAGGGTCACCGGACCCGAAACGTTAACTCTGTTTTTTCCTTCACAGATGCTGCCAGACCTACTGAGCTTTCGCAGCAACTTTATTTTTGTTACTGATTTACAGCATCCACAGTTCTTTCGGTTTTAACATGCTTTTTAACCCTTAGCTGAGATTTTCACTGCTTCTACCTCCAAAATATGTCCTGTCTTTGCCATTCCCAAGCTCAGCTGCAGCTGAAATTCTCACCCCTGCCTTTGCTACCACCAGACTTGATTACTGCAATGCTTTGCAGGCCAACTCCACCAACCTTCAACTTCTTCAGCAGCCAACACGCAAACACCAGCCTCACCATTCATCCTCTGTAAGTATGAGCTTTTTAAACTTTTCAAGAACTATTGATCCAAAACACTGTGCTCTCTGATCTACTGTTGGTTCCTAGTCCCCAGTCACATTATATTTCACATTTCTATCTTTGTGGTTAAATCTTTGCCCCTCTCGATCTCCACAACATCTGCCAGCCCTGCAATTCCCCACCACTCTGTTCATCT